TGCTGGATATAAGGCTCTCATGTATGGAGGAGCCATTTCGTCGGCTTACTTGGCGAATGCAGCTGTGGTGGCAGGATGTTCGGGGGCGGCAACCTGGCCAAGTTACTTCTGCCCCGACCTGTCCTTCTCACTTCTCACTCAGCAAGGTCGTCCGAATCTATTCATCCGCAATGTGGTAGATGATGTGGCGCTTCAGGCGCGTGGGCGCCCAGTTCAGGTTGCGCAGTTGGCCAGCTTTTCTCGTGCTTTGAGGAGCTTCACCTGCCTGTGAACATCAAGAAAACGAAGTACATGTGCACGCGTGAAGTCCAAGCACGTGTTGCTGGAGCTTGGTGTCTGTTCTCGGGCCGAGCACGCGCGCAACCTAGGCACAGATGCGACTACTGGTTCTCGGCGACGAATCGGAGCGCAGAGGGCGGGGTTCATCGATGCTGGATCTCGTTCGAAGCGGCTTCGGCTTCTGAGGGAGGCTGGGGCCGATGTGGCTCTTGCACAGAGAATGGGGGCCACGGCCTCAGCTCTTTGGGGTAGCAGCGTCTCGGGAATTTCGCCGACGGCCATGCATGGCCTGAGGCTGTCGGCGGTTCATGCGTTAGGGCGCCACCCAAAAGGTGCCTCCTTGGGGATTCGGTTGCACTCCTTTCGCCCGGGGGAACTCGTGGATCCCTTCGTGGCCTATGTCGGCAACGTGGCCTTCCAATGGGCTATCGCCGTCTGGGACAGCTTTCCGAATGTTTCGATTTTGAATGCGACGGCTGATGCGTCCATGGCGCGAGCGAATTCGAAGACGCACCCGTGGAGAGGAGCCTCGACTCCTGCGGACGTGGCCGTGCTCAGCCTGCGTCGAGTCGGATGGAGCTTTCGCGATTCCCGCACGGTGCAGTCGGACCTCGGGATTCCTGGCATTTGTCCCAGATATCCCCCGTCGAGGTTCAGCTGCAGGTTAGGGCTGCGGCCATCAAGGCGTCTGATAGGCAGGCTTTGATACAGGTAGGTGATGACCTCCCAGGGTACCCTCTGTTCTGGGATGCGTTGAAACCTCTTCTCCGATTCTCCCCCTCCTTGGGGGCCCCAGCATCTGAGGATCCTGAGGAGCTTGATGAGCAATGTGCGTTGGCCTCAGGCCAGGGTGCACAAGTATGGGTACCACGGTTGCTGCAAGTGCCGGATCTGTCAGGAGGAGGCGGGTAGCTTGTTTCATCGGCAATATCGGCGCTCGGCCCACGCTGTGCTCAGGAGGGACATGGTCTCGCCACAGCTAGCCAGCAGGGCTGCCCGCGTGTAGGAAGGAGGGGGGGAGCTCGCTGAGAGATTTGCGCGCGCGCGATCTTCCCCTCGCCGATGGTTCTTTTTCCTGCCCAGGAGTCCGAGCAGACAGCGTTCTGGTTCAACAGGCCTGAGTCAGGCCGACTCAGCGGCTTCATTTTCTCGGACGGGTCCGCTCTCTGGCCGGGGATACCTGGGCTCTCGAGGGCTGGTTGGGCATAGTCCAGGCCGATCCCCTGGGCAATGTTGTAGCCGCCTGCTATGGGCCAGTGCCGTTCCCCCCACGGGCCGAGACAGTCGGCGAAAGATGGAGAGGACTATGCAGTGCGTATGCTTACACAGTGCGCCATGGCGTCACTTGGTTTATATTGTGACTGCCAAGGAACCCTGGATGTCCTCTGGGGAGGCCAGGGAGCTGGGGCCTCTGCTGGTGGGCACAGGGCCCATCTCTGGGCCCCGTTCTGGTCGAGTTTCTCTCCTGGGGACCTCGCGTCGACCAAGACGGCAGCTCGCTGCGCGATGACTGACGCCCACAGTGGCAAGACGACCCTGTGGGAAATGAAGGCCAACGATTCGGTCGACTCATATGCGAAGATGGGCGCAGCCAAGCACGATCTTCGCGAGGCAGATGTGGACTTGTATTGAGGTCTCAAGTGTCTGGTTAAGGAGTCGGCCAAGTGGGCCGCCAATTTAGAAGTCAACCTGCAGCGTCAGTCTGACAAGCGTCTTGACACCGTGGGGCCCGAAGCGGCAGAAAAGGCTGCTCCCGACACCCACGAGCACCCGCCCTTGCCTGAGCCGGAGACTGATGAGTCTGAGGGCGGGGACGAGGTGGAGCTGGGGTTGGGTGGGACGGAAGGGTTCGACTGGGCCGACGTGGCCACCTCTGCGTTCTATGTGCAAGGCTATGCCCTGCTGCGCTGTGAGATCGAGGGTCCTGCCAGCGCGGGGGTGCCCATTGTCTTTCGTGTGAAGTGTGGTTCCTACCGCGAGGACTACAAGCCTGGGGAGCTGCTCAGAGCAGGATGTAACCATCGGCCTCGGTCAGCTCAAGTAAGGCACCAGCTGAAGAGAATTCGAGGCGGTAAGCACCCTCACAGAAAGGCCTCGTCCAAGAACCTTGCCTTCTCCCAGTCTTGTGGGCTCTCGGAGGCGGAGAGGGATCTCATGCGCGTTCGCTGTCGTTCCTCGCCTCCTCCTGCCGCAGGGAAGGCCGGCCTTGCGAAGCTCGGCTACGCCTCTCGCGAGGCTGCGCTGGAGGCCTTCGGCCTGCAGGAGTGCGACCTGGACACGGTCAGGTCGCTAGGCGAGGCGACGCGCCGACCTCTCCAGGATCCCGAGGACGAGGAGGCCTCGGATTCGGAAGGAGACGTATTTTTTTTAGAAAAAAAGAACAAAGCTTTTACCACTGACCTTAGATCGCTCCACAACAACAACCTCCTCCTCCTCCTCCCCCTCCTCCTCCTCCTCCTCCTCCTCCTCCTCCTCCTCCTCCTCCTCCTCCTCCTCCTCCTCTCTCGCCCCCCTCCGAACACTGCGAAACTGTGCCGTCGAGGAGGCAGGCCCTTGCGCGCCGCGGTAAACGTTCGCGGTCATTCCCCGAGGGGCCGCGTTGCAGCGCGGTCTGTCGTGCGCGCAGGACCGCAGAGGTCGAACAGTGGCGAAGCGCCCTGGCCCTCCTTCGCGTAGGCCCAGCGAAGAATGCGTTGAGAACCTGTGGTGGTTCGCACGAAACGTTTTTAGAACCTTGATGGCTGAGAATGTTTGTTTCAACAAATCGGGCTTATGTTATGAGAGCACTTTTGTTCTTACAACAGCTTCTTAAAACATCGGACTCTTTAGAGCATGCCGTGGTAGGCTTAGGACTGCCTGGACGGTCGGTCCCTGCTCAAGGGGGGCGCACCCGCACTCGTGAGCGCAGGGCCGTCGGCGCCCCTGGGGCACTCCGCACCCCAGGCTTGGGGCGTTGAGCCCGGCGGTCTCACCACCCCAGCCCCGGGCTGGGACTACAGTGGGGTCCCATGCCAAGAAACACCACGTTTGCCTCCACGGTGCCCTGAGTTCCTTTGGTTTCGACGGTTTTGCGATGGACACCGCGACGGTTCCGCACCAAAAATCCATTAACGACTTGGGGTTTCCGGGGTGGGTTTCTTGTGGAAGGTTTCGTGTGGACTGGCCTCACCTGTGCGCGGAGGGCGTGCCCAGGCCAGCTGGGACCCTCCGGGGGGCCTGCCGAGGCCAGCTGGGGCTGCCTGGGGGGGCTGTCGGTGCGCAGCTGGACGCCTTACCAGTGGCCGCCCTCCTCGTTCCCAGAGATCCAACGTATTGAAAACGTCAAGACGGAGGTTTTTCTCAATTTTCGGCCTCTAAAGGCCCTCGCGGGGTTTCGGGACCGTCAAAAACCGGCTCAGGATGAGAAGCGGGTCCTGGGGAATGGGTCGAGAAATGTCATGATCGACGTTAAAAACATCATGACGTCGGGGGTCTGGGCTGCCAGCGGCCCCCCTCCTCGGTTCCACCCGCACTGGCGCGCCGTAGCCGGGCGCGGCCCACCTGCCTCCAAACGCGCTTGCACGCGCCAGCGCTGCCGACGAAGACAAGCGTCCAGCTGCCCTGGGGGGGTTCGGCTGCCATCCCTGGGAGGTCGCAGTCAGCATCGGCGCCGGTGCACAGTGGAGACCCACGCCAAGAAGCACCCTGCTTGCCTCCAGGGTGCCCTGGGTTCCTTGGGTTCCGATGGTTTTGCGATGTGAAGCGGGACGCTCCCACACCAACAAAAATAAGTGGGCGTCCTGGGGTCTCAGGGGTGGGTTCTTGTGGAAGGTGTCTTGTGGTCGAGCTCCTATTGCATCTGCAGGCGAAGGCCATCCTGTTCCGGCCTCATCCCGTTTCGTCCAGCTGAATGCCGCTTGGTCTTGGGCCTGATCCGATTCGGTCTGGAGCACTTGTTCTTCATCTTGGCACGAGACAGACGGGTCCTGCCAGACACGGGTCCTGGACCTTGGGCTTTCCCTCCGGGTCGACTCTTCGTCCTGGGTCATTCTCTTGGTCCCGGGGCCCGTGGAGGGCCCCGAGGCGCCAAACACGCAGCAACACGTCAGGACCCGTTTTTCTTAGGACCCGCTTGTTGCAGGGTGATGCGTCGAGTTCGCCTGTCCTCATGTTCACGAAGATCAGCGTCACCCCAACATACTAATACTATATGTGCGTCGCCCCCCAGAGGCGACGCGCGCACCGAGACATTTTAATTATGCGTCGTGGCGGGCGCTTTCCGGCCCCACCGCTCGGGAAACTGTATACCAGACGATGGGTCTACGATAGTTTCGGGTTGGACGCCCGCCTCCGAGGAGGACATGTAGTACTACTACGTCTCTGTGCGTCCCATCTCGAGGAGGAGGAGGATGAGGAAGATGAGGAGGAGGAGGAGGAGGAGGAGGAGGGGGAGAAGGAGGAGGTTGAGGAGGAGAGGAGGAGGAGGAGAGGAGGAGGAGGAGGGAGGGGGAGGAGGGAGGAGGAGGAGGAGGAGGAGGAGGAGGAGGAGGAGGAGGAAGAGGAGGAGGGAGAGGAGGAGGAGGAGGAGGGGAGGAGGAGGGAGAGGAGGAGGAGGGGAGGAGGAGGGCGGAGGCGGAGGGGGAGGGGGTGGAGGAGGAGGAGAAGGGGGAGGAGAAGGAGGAGCAGGAGGAGGGCATCCCCGCTGTTGCCTCCCAGGGGAGGGCGCGCCTACTCGCCGCCAGGCGGCGGCGCCCAGCCCGAGGGCGCGGGCCAGGGCCTGGGCCTGGGCGCGCGCAAGGGGAGCCTCGGCAGCCTGAGCGTCGAGAGCGCAGACCAGGCCGCCCCAGGCTCGCGGGGGCCCTCACTGCAAGTCGGGCGTGGCCCTCTACGGGAGGAGTCTTCAAACATAGCCCCCCCAAAAATTGTCGGGAGACATTTATGTTTAAAGTAATTCCCATTCTTCGTCCAAAATCCGCCTGTGGGAGCACATGCCCGACCTAACCCGAACTCAAAGAAGAGAAAAGGCCATGAACATGAGCTGTTCGCGTTCCGCGCGGAGTTCTTGCATGCGCGCCGGGGCCCCGCCGGCGGCGCCTCCGGCGCCGCGCGCCAGGGAGGGTGGGGGTCCAGCGTAGATCCAAGAAGGCCGCGGGGAGCGCCAAAAGTTTCTGTTCACGCCGTTGTCTCTTCTCCTTGCTCTCGCCCTCCTCGGGGGCAAAGTCAGGGTGGACAGCTTCGGCCCCCAGTCGCCCATGGGCTGTGGCCCACGGACCGCCGAGAGGGGCCCGATGGCCCGCCCTGCCCAGGAGAAAGCGCTCTGCTGCCGGGGGCCCGTCGCCGATCAGTCGGCGATGCACCGCCGATGTCAGCTCGGCGTTTCCTCCCCCGAGCCAGCCCCCCCTGACGTTCAGTCGGGCACGTCCCTCGACAGGAGGGATACTCAAAAATAGGAAGAATTACTACGTGGACGAATTGTTTAGTATTGTTGAACCTGTTTTTTGGCTATCTTTGGCTATGTTTAAAAATTGTTCGTCCAAAATCTCCCATGTAGGAGGACACGCCACACCGAACCTAACGTTCCCGCACACCCACAGGGGCCGCCTCGACCCGTTCGATTCGGATCGGGTCGGCTTCGTGGATTTCGGTCTCGGCTCGATTCCGCTCGGGGTTCCGGCGTCGGTCTGCATTTCTTTGTGTGTGCGCATCGGCTCGGGCCGGCGGACGTCGGGCTCTTTGCTTTCCGATCCGCCCGGCCCGCCGATCTCTGCCGATTCGGTGCATGTCGATGGCCGATCCGAGCATCTGATTCGGCATTGCTGGGCCGCCCTGCCCTCTCGCTCTCCCCCCCCCCTCTCGCTCTCGGCGGCCCTCTGTGGCCGTTGGCGGCCTCGCGCGTGCCACTGTCGTCTACGCCGCCGTCGTCGTCGGAGCGGTCGTCGCCGCTCGCCGCCGCCCTCCGCCGGAGATCCCCGAGGGGCGCGGTCCTCGGGGCGCAGTGCCCGCGGGGGCCACGGCGCGGAGACTTCGCGCCGCAGTTGTGTTGGAGGAGGGGGCATCTCGAGGTCAAGGGTCCTCCTCTCACGCCTCCCTCCTCGCCCTCATCTTCGACCTCCCTCTCGCCCTCCTCGCCCTCCTCCGCCTCACCGTCCGCTCCTCCCTGTTCCGCACCCTCCTCTTCGCGCTATTTTGGGCATGCTGCGCGGCGAGTTCCCACCCGTAGCGTCAGATCCTCCTCGCCCTCCTCCTCCTCCTCCTCTTCCTCCTCCTCCTCCTCCTCCTCCTCTTCTTCCTCTTCCTCCTCCTCCTCCTCCTCCTCCTCCTCCTCCTCCATTCCTTTTCCTTGAAGAATAAGTCCCCCTGTCGCACCCCGAGGCCAGTTGTTAGGGCGGGCTGGGCGTTTCGCCTGAGACTTCTTCACCATTTATGATTCTGAAGTTAAAAAATTGGCAACAGCTTTACAGATGGATGTCGGGTCGTTCTCAAAATGTAGCTCTCGCCTTAGCGCGGCGCACATTCGTTTTTAAAAGTTCTCAAGAGCTTCACGGATTGAGGGCGGGTGGTTTCCACAATGTAGCTCCCACCTTCGCGCGGTGCACCTTCGGATTAAGAATTCGCAAGCGTTTCACGGATTGAGGGCGGGTCGTTTTCAAGATGTGGTTATCGCATTAGTGCGGCGCACATGCCTTCTAAACAATTACAAAAGTTTCACGGAATGAGGGCGGGCGGTTTCCACAATGTGGTTCTCGCCTTAGCGCGACGCACACACGGTTTAAGAATTCTCAAGAGTTTTACGGATTGAGGGCGGGTCGTATTCAAGATGTGGTTATCGTTTTAGTGCGGCGCACATTCATTTTAGAACATTGCAAGCGTTTCACGGATTGAGGGACGGTCGTTTTCAAAATGTGATTATCGCTTTCAGCGCGACGCACATTCGTTAAGCATGCAAGGGTGTTTCGCGGATTGAGGGCGGCTATTGTTCACAATGTGGTTATCGTTTGAGCGCGGCGCACATCAACAGTTTCACGGGTTCCCACCATCAACGTGCCAGAGATTGTGTTTGAACGGATTCAGGATTACGCGGGTGCAACAATTGTGTGTATTCGTTGTGTTGAAGTCCCAGGAATGGTGTTCTGGCACGATTCAGGGTTGTCAAGACGCAACAGTCAGGGTGATCCGTGGCGTGGGAATCCCGAGAACAATGTTTTGGCATGCTTCAGGGTCTTCAAACGGTTGTCCCTTCCAAACAGGCATTTCCTTCAATGGAAATGAGCAGTTGTAGTGGCCTAAGAAGAGGGAGCTTGGAGGGAGGGTTTATTCCAACATCGTTGATGACCCTTGGGTTTACACTGGTCATCCTCCTCCCCCTCCTCCTCCCCACCATACACTTGCATGCTTCGTCTTCCCGCCCGTGCGGGTGCAGAGCCAAAGACCCAAGCACATGGCTAACCGCGCTCGGGGCAGCCCTATTTCACGATGTTGATGCCCTGCCCTGGCCACCGTGGACCGATGCGAAAGCTTGTCTGCTGACAAGCGTATTCCGTCACAGACGGGCACTGGCTCACACCGTATCGTTTACGTGGGTGTTTGCGACAAGTTCCGCCGCCGCTCCAGCGCAGTATTCTGTCCTCCTGGCCCCAGCGTGGAGGAGGAGGCCGCCGCCGCGGGCCACGCTGGAAGCGCCGGCGGCGCAGGGTGGGGGAAAGCAGCGTGCCACCGTTGTGTTGGGCCCTCGCCTTCCAGGCTCAAGGTCGGCCCAGGGCTTCGTCTGTGGGACCTCGGGCTTTGATCATCTACTGGAGAGTCCAGCCAGGGCGTGGGGCTCAGGGCACAGGGGCCAAGAAAGTGGTGCCCAGGCGGCTGGGGCCATCGAGGAAGCAAACGCTGCCCGAGCATGCGCTCACGGGGACCCGCGTGGATTGTCTTGGATCTGCGCCAGCGAGGGGGGGGGGGAGGACCAGCGCCGATCCCAGAGATCCGCGCGGGTCTCCCTTCCCCCGCCTCCCCCTGCACCCCCTCCCCCTCTATGTTCCTCTCCGCTGCCCCCATCCCCTCCCTTCTCCGCCTCCGTCCCCCGTCCTTTGATTCGGTGCCCCTGCCTCGCCCTTACCCCCCCACATCTCCTCTTCTCGCCGCCGCCGCTGCCCCAACGGAGGGGGTGGCGTGCGCGGCGCATGCGGGGGCGGAGCAGGGGCGAGAGAGGAGCGGGCAGAGGGAAGCGTGCTCCAACAACGATGGCGTCGCTGCGGCGGCCGCGGTGCGGAAGAAGCGGAACCGGTATCCCCCGAGCGGGGGTGTTGGGGCGCCCATCGGACGAGGCACGAAGCCGAGGAATTCATCCGGGCGTACGGCCACTGCGTCGATGAGGCGGCCCGGGGCGAGGTGCTGGGCGGGCCATGGCGGCAGCTCTCTCGCTAGCTTCAGCGCGGCAACGCTGAGATGGTGCTGAGCGCCCTAGGGCAGTGAGGCGCGACCACCACAAAGACCACCACGACCACCTCGGCCAGCACGACTACCACGACCACCGCCGCCCTACCGACCACCCCGACCAGCTCGACCGCCGCAGCTACCACCGCGACCACCACGACAACCACCACGACCACCACAACCACGGCAACCACCACGACCACCACGACCGCCACAGCAGCGGCAACCACCACGACACCCACCTCCGATGGTCGGTACCACCACGACGCTCCGACTTCCGCCCCCCGCCTCTTCCCTCCCTTCCCCCCGCCTCTTCCCTTCCCCCCGCCTGGCCGCCTTTGCATGCTGCTCCTGGCCTGCCCTGTCGTGCGCCGGTCTAATTAATCTGCATTGCCAGAGGCTGGTCTCCGAAGGGCGACCGGCTGTGGTGTACAGGTGGCAGACTGAGTGGACCACCGTTCAGGGCAGCCCCCTGAGTGCTGGCGGGGGCGCCAGACCCGCGGCCAGCGTGGATGGAGGAGGAGGAGGAGGAGGACGACGACGACGACAAGGAGGCGGACGAGGAGGAGGAGGAGGAGGAAGAGGAGGAGGAGGAGGAGGAGGAGGAGGGGGGACGCGGGGCAGGGTGAGAGCTTGCAGCCGAGGCGCCGAAGTGCAAGGGCCACTCTGGGCCCGGCAGGGGCTCTGGTCTCCGGGCCGCTGCGTGGGTCTGGGGTAAACCTGTTCTCGGCCGAGGCCGTGGCCAGAAGAGGAGAGCCCCTTCGGCTCTTTCGACCCATGCGGTGGCACGATAGCTGTAGGCCCCAGCAGGGCCCCCCAGGACCAACGGCGACATCCCTCATCCCTGCTCCCCCAGGAGGACGAGGAGGAGGATGGAGGGAGGCGAAAGGGGTAAGGAGGAGGCGCGAGGATGAGGAGGAGGAGGAGGAGGAGGAGGAGGAGGGGGAAGGAACCCAGAGATCTGATGTCTTGATGTTTGTCAATGCGGGGTCCTCGGATGCCCCGACCACCTCTCAGCTCCCAAGGACCGTCTTTCCCTCCCGAGGGGTCGTCTGACAGCCCCGGGGCCCCCACTAGGCGGATAACGGCGAGAGCCCCCCCGTTTCGATTTCTGTTCCATGCCGTGGATCTCTGGGAAGGCGGAACAGGAGCAGGACGAGGAGCAGGACGAGGAGGAGGACGAGGAGGAGGAGGAGGAGGAGGAGGTGGCTGGAGGACGGCGGCCCCTGCGCCAGGCCGGGCGAAGAAGGCCGCACCCCGCGCCCCGCGGCCCGCTCAGGCTCCGTGGGCGCCTCGGTGCACTCCAACTCCAGCAGCAGGGCCGGCGACCACTTCCACCTGCGGGAGGTGGCGCGCGGCGGCGGCGGCGGCGGCGGCGGCGGCGCCCCACGGCGGCCTCCCGGCGCCCCAGAAGTCCTGGACACTCCGGGCGGCACGGCCGAGCCGAGAAGGGAGAAGGAGGAGGAGGAGGAAGAAGAGGAGGAGGAGGGTTCAAATGGAAGGATTCAAAATGAAGCCGTCCACGCGGCACTGACGGTAAAGCCCCAGCATGTCGGTGAAAGTTGACACCAACACCGCCACCTTGGGAACCCATTAGCACGTTTTCTCCTATTCCACATTGCTTCAACGCGCCAGAAGACTTTGAAATAAGTGGCATGTCAGCAACACTTCCTTTCCGTGCATCGACAAGGACATTCCTGTTGTTGTGAGGCGGTACGCCTTCAGGATGATAGTCAGAAGCACCACTCTACGAAGGCTGCCTGTGGGAACTAGACAAGGGGGGTCAGAGCAGCATCACTCTGGCGTCGTACCCTTAACGAAGCAAACGAGGAGCCATGCCCACGATCTCACGCTCCCGTGCTTCAGATCACGACGCGGCCCCTGGCTCACGCGCCGACACGACCATTTCGAGCCGCGCAAAGAAAAACACAGCACCCAGGCAGTGCCGCCCCGATCAGCCTCCCGAGAAGCGCCACTCCCAGGAGGAGGAGGAGGAGGAAGAGGAGAAGGAGAAAGAGGAGGAGGTCGAGGAGGAGGAGGAGAAGGAGGAAGAGAGAGGAGAAGGGAGTGGAGAAGGAGGAGCAGGAGGAGGAGGAGGGAGGATGAGGAGAAAGAGGAGGCGGGAGAGGAGGCGGAAGAAGAGGAGGAGCAGGATGAGGCGGAGGAGGAGGAGGAAGAGGAGGAGATCGAGGAGGAGGAGGAGGAGGAGGTCGAGGAGGAGGAGGAGGAGGAGGAGGAGGATGGAGGAGGAAGGAGGGAGGAGGGAGGAGGGAGGAGGAGGATGAGGAGGAGGAGGAGGGCGGCGGCGGCGGGCTCATCAGCAACACGAGTCAGAATGCACCACATTCGAAAGTATTAAAACATTGCGCAAGTTCCACGAGTGAGCATCACACGGGAATAATGGGGGGAGGGCTCAAAACGCCAATGTTGCCAGTTGATCGGAGGAAGTCCCAGCAGCAACGGCGCCCTCGAACTCCAGCTGAATCGAAGTGTCGCTTCACTCGTAGCGGGGGCAGTCGAAATGGTACGAACACCAATTGTAGAAAGCCAGCATTGGGAAGGGACGGAATGTTGGGACCACGCGTAGGCTGTGCTAAGCAGCGGCAGGGATCGAGGCGAGGAAAGGAACCAGACAGCGGTCATTTGCCCGTTGTTGTTGCCTGGCCATGGCGACCTCGACCGCCCATTCGTCCACGACTTCCTGCAAGAGACAGCGGCCTCCATGATGAGCATGCCACTTGGAAGCGAGCCCCTCGAGCTCCGAGGCACACGGCGCGCTTGTTTCTGAGCCGCTAGCCGCTTCGCCCAGACGACCAACCGACCACCGCCAGCCTCCACGCCAATGTGACGAGGACCCAAAGCAGCACGCTCACAGACGTTGCTCCATGGGGATGGCGACGAGCCATGAGCAGAGGTACACAACTCTGCCAGAAGTCGTCGATGGATATCGCCGTCGTTCTCGTCGGCCCCATCGCCGCCGTAGGTCTCGAAGGTCCCGTAGCCGCTGCCGCAGGCGGTGGAGGCGCTGTACGTCTTGCAGCCGCCGCTGCCGTCGGTTTCCAAGCTGCCGTTGGTCTCTTAGTTGCCGTGCACTTAGTCGCTGGAGCTGGAGTCGCCAAGGGCCCCGACGGTCCCGAAGCCGCCGAAACCACCGTATAACGCGTCTCCGCTGCCGTAGGTCCCGTGGCTGCCGTAGGTCTCGTAGTTGCCGTAGGTGTTGAAGTTGCAGCGGGAGCCGCCGCAGGTCCCGAAGCTGCCGAAGCCGCCGCATATCCCGTAGCCAGTGCCGTGGGTCCCGTGGCCGCCGGAGGTCTCGTGGTTGCCGTAGGTGTTGTAGCTGCAGCTGGAGCCGTCGTCGGTCCTCTGCCTGGATGTCCCGCAGCCGCTGAAGTCGCCGTAGATCTTGTAGCTGTTGCCGCAAGGCCCCCGGCTGCCGTAGGACTCGAGGTAGCTGAAGGTCTCGTAGCCGCAGTTGGAGCCTTTGGAGGTCTCGAAGCCGCCGGAAGCCGTTGCAGCTGCCGCAGCTGCTGCCGTCGGTCTCCTGACCGCCGCAGGACTTGTGGTTGCCGTAGGTGCCATTGCGGCATCTGGAGCCGCCGTAGGCCTCGCAGGTTCCGAGGCCGGCGAAGCCGCCGCAAATCGCGTAGCTGCTGCCGTGGGCCCCTTGGCCGCCGTCGGACTCGCAGTTGCCGTAGATGTCCTAACTCCACGTCCGCAGAGTTCGACGTGGACTTGCTCGCGGATGGGGCCTTCAGAACTCGGAGGCGAGCGAGGGGGGAAAATGAGAAGGAGAAGGCCCTCTCAGAAGGCGGCGGGACTTCTCAGAGAAAACTTGTTACAAGGCCGTGGACTTCTGAGCCTTCTGAGAATTCCATCTCTTTCTCACTTCCCCCCCTCGCTCGCCCCCGAAGAACCGCAAAGTGCGCGTGCTGGGGCCATCTGGCGGACAATACGGCCGAGCCAGCCGCCGATTGTCTCGAGCCCGTCTCCCCCCCCCCCCCTCCCCCCTTCCTGCTGGCGCCGCTGCTGCTGCCTTCCCTTCCTTCTCCCTGTTCCCTCTTAGGTCGTTGACTTGCAGGGGGCGCAGAGGCAAAAAGAGGCGGGGGAGGAGGAGGAATAGGAGGAGGAGGAGGAACAGCAGGAAGAGGAGGAGGAGGAGGAGGAGGAGGAGGAGGAGGACCCCTCCGTAGCTTGGCTCAAGGCCATTGCCTGGGGCTTCGCCTCCCCCAGGGTGGGGGCTCGAGGTGGTTGAGGAACCGCGGCCAATTCCTCGATCAGCAGCCCTGCCCAGGGTGAGGAGGCCTTTCTGTCTTGCTTCCCGCGGCAGTTCTCGTGTTGCGCCCGTTCCATGGGTGTGAATGGCTCGAAGGCGCGACTCTGGAAGTGCATGCACTGCGGGTGTGGCAAGACGCCCTGGGACCAACCATGGTGCAAGCATTGCCGTGGCCACTGGCGTGATCGCCCCCCGCCTCCTGGCGACAACGGAGGCAACAGCGGTGGCCAAGGCAGCCCGCCCAAGGCGAACCGTGCGGGCAAGGGCCGCGACCAGAGCGCTCCTGACAGTCCGCCTGGGCTGGCTCAAGGCGCTCCTCTTCCTGTTGGGCTTGTGGCAGGCGCTGGAGCTGACCCCGCACCCGACATGTCGGTCGAGGAGGTGCGCCAGGGATTGCAGTTGGCCCGTAAGTCACATGCGCCTGCCATGGTGGCCTACTACGAGCAGCTGCTGGTGTTCAAGGAGTTGCACCCCACTCCTCAGCAGCGGGCGGACCAGTCCTACAAGGCGTGCAAGACGCTGGTGGGCATGGTCAAGGCCCAGACTGAGGAGATCACCACCATCCAGAAGGACCTGGATACGAAGCGAGACATGCTGCGCCAGACGATGCAGCAGCTCGCGGTGCAGGAGCAGCAGTACAGTGATGCAGTCACAGAGTTGTATCATGTGGTCAAGCCCCAGAAGACGGTGTTCAACTTGGCCGATATCGTGGCTGGGGACCCCAGCAAGTGGGAGCTCACTTGCGGTGAGGACCTGTTCGGCCTGGCGGAGTTCGTGGATGTGTCGGATGAGGACCGCCAGCAGGTCAAGAGGCGTGAGCAGGAGCTCAAGGAGCGCTTCCGCGAGACCGCCACGGCGCTGTTCGGCGAGCTCAAGACGAAGGCGGAGCTGGCTCGGAAGGAGCAGGAGGAGCTGCGAGAGAGGCTCAAGACCAAGCGGCGTCGAGGGCCTGATGATGAAAGTTCAGCGCGCGGGGTGGCCTCGGCCTCTCAACCTGCTGGGGTACCTGGCGGAGGGGAGCAGATGGCCGAGGCCACCCCAGTTCCTGGTGACGATGTGCCTGATGGGACCATCGAGATCGACCCCGAGGACTTCAAGGCGAAGGCCCAGCGCATCCTGGATGAGGCCATCGCCAAGGAGAGAGCGCCTGACGGCAAAGGAGAAGCTGGTGGCAAGGGCCCAGGTGCAGGCAAAGGGTCGGCACTTTATCATCAACGAGGGCCTCGACTTCGAGGCGCTGCGGGTGGTCGGTGCATCGACAACCACTGGTGCCTGGTCGAGTGCGTGGCCCTGGCTGCTCCCTGAGATGGTGGAGACCCAATGCATGTGGAACTCAGGCGGCGGGAATCGCTGGAGGGAGCAGTCGAGTACGACTAGAAGTTTGGGTTCGGCATCCACAGGGGTCGTGGGTCTGGACCTGAGGGGCCAGAGTCAGCCTGACTCTGGGCGTTTTTGTGAGCCTTGGCCTGGCAGCAGCGGGCTTTATTCACTTGGGCTAGGTGAATGGGTTACCGAAGCTTCCAGGCAGCTGGAGGTTGCTTGGTGGTCTCTGGGTAAGGCGGCGTCAGGGAGTCTGGCAACTGGGGGCCCTTCTCGGGCTCGGCCGTGGGGGGGGGGGGCTTCGGCGTCTAGGCCTCCCGGGCTGTCCTGGCTCTGTCCTCGGGGGGTCCCCCCCCCCACCGGTTGCCGACCCGCCTGCGCTGCCGATCCCTGAGCCCGCCCCCCCCCCAGCCCCTGAGGCGAGCCCGCCTTTAACGCGCGCCCGCTCGAGGTGGAAGGCCCACGACGGCCAGCCCGAGCGGGGAGATCTGGGGGCTGGAGAGGATAATTGTACATATTTTTCCATCACAACGCGCAACACTACGCCCTGGGAGTCCGCGAAACGGTTTCTCGACGGGGAGCGCGAGAGCCACGCTGTGGTTTTACAGGAGGTTGCTGTGGAGGAGAAGGGGCGAGCTGCTTCAGAGGATCTATTTCGTAAACGAGCTTGGAATGTCAGCATCGGAGCATCAGTTGTTACCGAGGGAGGTGGGCTGTCTGCAGGTGTAGCTGTTTACTGCAAGTCGCATGTTGGCATGAGTCTCCCGCCGCCCACTCCTCGTGCGTTGTCGTTTCCTGGGCACATCCGTTTGAGATGGGTGAATGCGTATATCCCTGGAGGTTTTGTGTTCGGTTCAATCTACTTACCTGCTGATGATCCATTGGGGGCTGTTGGCAGTGAAATTCTCGGAAGGGTCGGGGAAGGTTTGCACTCCTTGGGGCCCCCGTTCGTCTTGGGTGGGAACTGGAACGCTACTCCAGAGGTACTTCAGGACATGGGCTGGCCTTCGATACTTCGTGGTCGCATCGTCCGCCCTGATTCGTGCACGTGCAAGTCGACTGCTAAGAAGTGGCGCACGATCGATCATTTCGTCATGTCAGCGGGTCTCGCGGCCAACGTCTTGTCTTGCGAGATCAGCAGGAAGGCCTCTGTCAAACCTCATTGGCCAGTGGTGGTCAA